ACACACACACACAGGCACACACACTGAAGGGCGGTTCAGGGTTCACTGTTTGTTGTTGCTCCACTGACTGCATGGGAGAATCGGGCAGCAGTGGACAAATGCTGAACCCCTCCACTTAATAATGCAATAAAAGCGGAATTAATCATCCTTTTGGATCAGTTGAAGAGGGGTGAGAAAATTTTCCTAGTAATTAAAAATGCATGTCCTCACCATAGATCTGAAACAAGGTTGTTGTTCAGAGTTCATGAATTTTTTATTTCTTTTCCCCTGCCAACTACACCTATGTTTATCTCATGTTGAGAGTAAACTCTTATAATGCAAAGAAGTGAGTACTACTGAAATATAGTCTCACAATAATGGAAATATACATGTAAATATATATGTATCTCAAAATGTAGTACAGTTCATGAAGTATTTACTTCCCAAATCTTCCTACAAGTGTTTATTTACAGTAGAGGGGCGAATGGTTTCTATTGTGAAGCCAAAATTTTCTCCAATCAAAAGCAAGTTGAAATAAGTCTCTCAGCCTCCTCATGCCCATGTTTGCAAGCCAGGAGGAAGACTAATGTCAAATGTCATGTCAGTAAAGCCCATTGAAGTGAATTTAATTGAACTGAACTGGAAGCTAAATTCACTCATTATGATTTTAAGCACAAAGTAATGTTTTTGGAGTTTGGGGTGATAAGTTGAAACTGCATTTTCATTGTCTGTCCTTTGACGAAATACAAAAAAGACACAGGTGAAAATACTGAAGGTGATGAGGAATAAGTAAGAGTTAAAAGAAGCATGTCTTTTATTTTTAGCAAGCTGAGAGCGAGAGTCTCTCTGCCACACGAGATTAACTGAGGAATATTCTTGTCAAATAACTTGTTTACTTACCCGAACAAAAGCTGGAAAATCTAAAAAGATATCAAGAGACGACCACTTCAATTATACATCCACAAGTTTGATTAAAAAAACAATAAGTTCTCTAAAACAATGAATGCATCTTAAGTGAGTTCATTGGAGAAGACGTTGCTGGAAATGATGAAGTAGGCAATAGTTGTACTGATGTTTGTTTAGTGACATTTTGAGAACATTTTAAGAAAATTACAACTGACCTCACTCCCCCTCTTCCAAGTTATAACTCACAAAAAATACTTTCTATTGCAAATTCATGTTCGATCCCACAAGTCCGTTACAAACAAGAGAGGTGTGTACAAAAGCTTCGCTCAAACCTACATAGCTTCATTTTAAATATTAGTCAAGATGCTGAACATGTCAGGCTGTATGAAACGTATGTCGACAATTATTGGAAACATTTTAATTTCCTATTTCATTTTAATTGTAGCAACATAAAATAAATGTGAAAATCTGTCTGAGTGTAAGTGTGATACAGATATAGCTGGAATTAACACATTGATAGAAAGATACATGGAATATATGGTGTCGACAGACAATGTGTTAGAATGTTTCATGCATCTGTGAGGCCACTTGAGGGGATTTAAGGGACTACTAAGATTTGAAATGATTAATTGGAAGTTCTTGGCACATAATATAGTCTACTTTGAGAGTTATTGTTTGGAGAAACATAGGAGCCCCTTCTCTCCCTGCTACTTTCATAATTTGTCAATAACAAATACTTGTGGACTGTTGGAGATTTATTTGTCTTTACATAGAGTTCTTATTATGAATGTAGATATATAAGACTAGTTTTGTATCTTTTAATAATGCTATCCCATGCTCTATAGTAATGCAATGTACACCGTCTGGACACACAAACACAATATACTTCAATGTAAAACACAGTTAACACTTAATTTGTGAAATGTAAAATGTCCTGTTTTTTGTTTGATGATTCAACTCTGTGGTCATATTTAAAGCCATGTCGTGTGTGTGTGTGTGTG